CTAGAGGTCTCATTTCTCTCTTCATGATGACGGTACGGGTTGCGTGTGTGTTCCTGCATGTGTGTGTGTGTGTGTGTGTGTGTGTGTGTGTGTGTGTGTGTGTGTGTGTGTGTGTGTGTGTGTGTGTGTGTGTGTTTGTGTGTGTGTGTGTGTGTGTGTGTGTGTGTGTGTGTGTGTGTGTGTGTGTGTGTGTGTGTGTGTGTGTGTGTGTGTGTGTGTGTGTGTGTGTGTGTGTGTAGACTTTATTGATCCCTCTCTAACAGTAATTAGCTGATTGATGAGGGAATGAAGAGGAGCCTTTACAGCGAGGAATGCAGACACAAATATGCATACAGATATACACAGACACACAGACACACACACACACACACACACACACACACACACACACACACACACACACACACACACACACATAGTTACAGATTGACTGAGTGTTGGCTGTGTTTTCTCACTAATTGCTTTTGGGTAATACGTCATGTATAAGTGTATGGATGCTGCTGAACTCTGACCTCTGGATGGAGTGATCAGTCAGGGAGAAAACCTGCAGAGAGGAGGAGGAAGAGGAGAGATACTGTGAATACAGATTTCAAGTATTTGTAGGAAAGAATATTTGAAAGTTGTCCCAATATCAGAGTTTTAAACTTCGTAATGATTCTAGAAAAAAAATCGAAATATATTGATACCTGTTACCATGGCAACAAAAATGGAAGTCCTAGGCAACCCAGTAATTGGTTATATATTGTGTGTTTTTTATAACGACTGTCTAAATGGTTGTGAAAGGTGTGTGGCAGCGTGTTGCTACAGTTGGGTTAAACTGTGACTGAAGAGCTGAAGTCGTCTGAACGCTTCACTCCTTTTGATTCTTTAGATCATTAAAATCACTTAATGGTTACAGAGTCTTCATGGAGATCTGTGTGATGATGAGTAACCGCATACCAACGTACTAACTGCTGCTCAAAAATTAACCCAATGAGTACCTCACACACACACACACACACACAGAGGTCATATAGCGGTCCACTTCCTGGTTTGAGCACAGTTGCAGTTGAAACCAGCCTTAGTCATTTTGGTAGCCTAACTCGAACTCAATCCACAGGCAACAACTAGAGGAGTATCAGACATTTGGAAAAGAGCGCCGGTAACGTCAACAGCGCCTTTCTGAAAAGTTAGACGACGTTCAACTTGAGCGCTCGGAGCGGCTGCACAAAAACAAACTGCTAGGTGGACACGTTGTCTGAACGAGCGGCAACCTCCGGTCTTGAAACATGAAGCCGATGCAGAAGATAAACGGCTGGTTCAAAAAACCAAATAGGTGTGATTAGCTCATGTCTGGATGGACACACACTGTACGGGGGGTGAATGTTTTGATGACTCATCAGTTTTGATTTGATGAAGGATAAGAGTTATTCACAATAAGGCGTGTAGCTGACCTGATTGACAGGTGGGCGCGGTGTAACGGTTTGTCAGGAGGTTTAAAACCCGCCTCAGCTCCAGCTCTCAGCCTGTCGTTAGGTTGACTGAAAGTTAGACTGAGACAGCATTTCCAGCATGGAGACCGCCATCGATGGGACTCCAGCGCCCCCTGCAGGAACAGACGGGGGACGCCATCGATGGGACTCCAGCGCCCCCTGCAGGAACAGACGGGGGACGCCATCGATGGGACTCCAGCGCCCCCTGCAGGGACAGACAGGGGACGCCATCGATGGGACTCCAGCGCCCCCTGCAGGGACAGACGGGGGACGTCACTGACCTTTTCTTTGGTTCCATTTCTTTATTCACACTTGTGTTTACACGTGAAGATAAAGATGAGCTGATACTTCCAGCAGCTGCTCGTCTGTATTTCATATCCACAACTTAAAAAAAGAGATGAAAATAGAGCTGCATTGCTTTTCTGCCACCTGGCTCTCCGACTCGTTTGATTGGCTATTAAAGCTGGCGGTGCTTCATTAGCGGAGGCAGCAGCTGGAGTTATATGATGTTAAACATCGTCGTCGCTCTGACCTTTACGGCCTCCTCCCGTCTGTCTCCGCCTGTCCGCGCTCATCGTGCTCCGTCGATTAAAGCAGAAAAACAGACTCATCAGCATTTATTAATGCGGCTGCAGCTCCGCCCGACACCGAGACATCCGTCATCTCGTCCACACAGCGAGGACCGCTGCCAAACGAGACGCGGCCTCCACTCATCGGCCTGACGCTTTATCTTCTACATGTTGGTTTTTCAACAGGAGCAGCCTGACATTGTCCAGTGTGTAGCCTGATTTTTTGCGCTTTCACACTTGTCGAAAACTCCTTAATAAAACGGGCTTCATGACCACCATCTTCTTTAAATATTAGCTTTGGGATTAGCTAGCAGCTAACGTCTTTGATAAACCGACTTCACGTTCGAGCCGTCGACGTGGAGAATGTACGAGCTGATATCAGATTTAACAGCTCAGATGTTTGTGTGAAATCCAGTCTGCTGTTCTCTGTGTGGACTGGTTAGACTGGTTATTAATTATAACCGTTAGCTAGTTAGATCATACCTGTGTGTGTGTGTGTGTGTGTGTGTGTGTGTGTGTGTGTGTGTCTATTGTTAGAGCACACTGAGGCACACTGCCAGTGTCACATTAGCTCTCAGGTTTGTTTGTACAGGAGTGACTGTGTTTATGGCGCCATGCCAGTACTGAGGTATTGTGTGGTATTGTGTCAGGTGTGTGTGTGTGTGTGTGTGTGTGTGTGTGTGTGTGTGTGTGTGTGTGTGTGTGTGTGTGTGTGTGCTGTTAGTCGACTTACATTCCACACACGCTTAGAACACGCGACTGCCGTTATTTGATCCCCTGAAGAAGAAAATAAGCCCTACACACCTCACACCTGCCACCCTCAGCGCTGATCACAGTCCAACCTTTTTTTAAGATTCACTTTTTTTAAATAATGTTTTTCTCAAATTTAAACAAAATTAAGAAAATTTGATATGAGAGGAAAATGAGAAATCACAACATCCAGCAGTGAGATATTCCTAAATATTTTAAATCACAGTTTTAGTTTTTTAACTTCAGGTTTTAAGTGAATCAACTTTCAACATTTTTAATGAATTCTTTATGAAACTTTTAAACTCTGGGAAAACAAAACATGTTCAAGAACTAATACTGTAAACTCTCATTGATCTTTTGTTGCTGCATTCACTAGTGTCTAAGAAAATTTGATATGAGAGGAAAATGAGAATCACAATCCAGCAGTGAGATATTCCTAAATACTTTAAATCACAGTTTTAGTTTTTTAACTTCAGGTTTTAAGTGAATCAACTTTCAACATTTTTAATGAATTCTTTATGAAACTTTTAAACTCTGGGAAAACAAAACATGTTCAAGAACTAATACTGTAAACTCTCATTGATCTTTTGTTGCTGCATTCACTAGTGTCTCAGTACTCGACCAAGACCAGTCTCAAAACCCTTTTTGAAGGTCTCACCTCGGAATATAAAGCATTTTTACTCGGCCTTATCTCGGTCTCAGACTCCAGATTTCAAATCAAGACCGGTCAAGACCACCACTGATCGGTCATTCTAAACCTTGGTCAAGGTCCCGGCCTGCCTCGTTCTAAGTCTTGACTCGGTCTGGATGCCTAAATTACTTGGTCTAGGTCTTGGTTTCGGAGAACTCTGGTCTCAGGTATGTCTTGGTCTCAATTAGTCTGGTCTTGACTACAACACTAGCATCCACACACAGAAAGTAATGTCCGACAGAGTCAACCCACAGCGCTGACTGTACGCACAGACGATCAATGAGTGTCTCTTTAAGGTACAAAGTGTCTACCCATAAGAACATGTTTTCAGATACCCTTAAGCATCTGTTTGTAGCTTAACTATCGTGTCAGTTTTAAGGAAATCTATAACATTGTTTTAAGTTTCCTTTAGATTCTGTTCCAGGTTCCCCTAAGTGTCTGTTTTTATGCTCTTTTCTTTTGTTGTTCTTCTTCGTTTGTCACTGAGGACCCAAAGTGCATCTTGATTTCTGTTTTCATGAATAATCAACATGCACATTCCTCAAATCTGTCTTCAGAGATCATCATCTTTGTTCATCTCTGAACATCGAAGCTGAGCTGATCCCTCCGAGGACCGGAGGTCGGTCCAGCAGACGAGCTCAGACAACGGCGGAGAGGACGTTTTTAAATGACTCATTACAATAATACAGAGAAACTGCGATAATCAAGAGGAGAATTCTTCAGGGAGCGTGCCAGTCAGCAAGAGGAGAGTCCGGATTAGCGTCAGATTTCAGCTCCAGCTTCGGGACTGAAACCCGATCGAGCAGAGAAGAAACGCTTTGGTTTCAGCGGTTTCTGTTAGAGGGACAATAACTGTATGATTAACGGATTTCTTTAAACCTGCAGAGTCTCATCCCGTTCAAACCTCCGGGACGCTGGACGAGCATCATTCAGTCATTTACTATTCTGAGTGAGTGCTGTAAGATGGGGCCCTTTTAGGGAGGTTTCCTGTCATTTCAAACTTTGCATATTTTGAGCCACTGCTGTGGTTGAAAGTTGATCAGCCCTTGGGGGCCCCCTACTGGCCTGGGGCCCCCCTACAGTCGCCTGCCTTTCTGGTTGACAAACAGCATACCTGATTGTTCACACCTGAAATCAACGCCTGGAGTCGGGATTTGAAATAAATACATCTCTCTCTTTTTTTTAACCCCTCCTGCACCACAGAGCTATTTTACTATCTGCACTGGAAAGCTCCAACATGATGATCTTATTTATTATTTTATAATCTTATTATCGACAGAGATTTAAGAGATGAGGCGTTTGTAGAACTCAAAATAAAGTCTTCTCCTGGAAAGCGTCCCTAAAGATCAGAGAGAGAGAGAGAGAGAGTGACGCTGGTGAGACATGAACACTTAAAAATACAAACTTTATTTATCAAATATCTTCCAGCTGAATGTGTGAGTGCAGCGCAGACAGCATGCAATCGTTTCACATCATCAGGAATAAGAAATAAACACAGAAGATGAATGAGAGGATGTAGGCTCAGGTAAGTCTCTTTACGTTCACTGGGATCAAAAACAGATTCACCTGGAGACGAGTAAAAAGTGAATGTGCAATACTTCAATTAATAAAAAGTATCTTAACATGAAGTAAATATAGTTTGCTCCCCATGTTGAAAACGTCTTCAACGGCGACCATCTTGGGTTTAGAATGAGGTCTTCCTGAAGGAGAGCTCTACGTCATGAGTGTAAAATATGAAGATAAAAAGATGAATGTGAGTCCTTATCTGAAACATTTAGCATCAGAAAACAAAGCAGACACATCAGAGATCCGTTTGAACAGTCATGGTCGTCACTCTGTTGAAGAGGCAGGAATATAAAATAAGGCATTTATTATTATTGATTTGATTTCCCTCCTCTCAGTTGTTCACTTTGTGTCCACAGGTGAACACCTCACTAACACATCTACAGCATGTGAGCTCCATGGACACCTCGGGTAAATATTACGGCAGCCCCTTCAGGACAAACTTCATGTTGTTAAGGTGCAGGTCGGTTAAGAGTCTGAGAGAAGAAGAACCATCAGGAGGACGATTGTTCTGGAAGAATTCATCTTTAAAAAAAGAGACCAAAAATCACTGAATCACTGTTGGAAGACGTCAGTGAATAGTTTGATTATTTCAAGACTTAGTTTTACGATTTTCTTCTTGTACCTTGAATGCAGCATTCCTCAAAGTCTGTGTTAAATGTGTCCATCAGAGCGTCAGTGTTAAAGGGGCGGGGCAAATATAAAGGCGGAGCTATGTTGCTGCTTGAATGTAACAAGAGTCCCGCCCCTGATCCTGATGACATCATAGTTCCTCAACCGAACCAATCACCTGCAGCTGCTGTTGTTGCTTGTGTTTTATGATGTCATCGTTATGTTGGCAGAGTGAGGGGGCGGAGCCTGAAGCCAGGTCAGGGTCAGGTGTCGGGTCAGGTGTTGGGGAAGGTTCCTGGGCGGGGTCAGGATGTGGGGTGGGGTTTGTTTCAGGAACAGGATCTGACTGGATGTCAGTCCTGTCATGTGACACCTGCAGCATTTCAGTTTCCACAGTTAGCTCCGCCCCCCTGTCCTCCACCTGATCAACGATCCCATTGCACCCTGAGCACCTCCCGCTGTGCTGTGACCCGTCCTCCCTGCATGTGTTCCACCTCTTCATCCCTCCCCTCCTAGTGGGTGGGGCCTGCCTGTATCTCCGGCTCTGATTGGCTGACAGTCGCCTGTTTCTGCGGCTCTGATTGGCACTGCCTTCCTGGTTCTGGTTCTGGTTGTGGATCCTGTGGACTCTCTGGAGCGCCAGAGCAGCGAGGTCGGAGTGAGACGACGTGCTGTCAATCATCCTCCGGCCCAGAGCGAGCGGCCGCACGGGCAACGCCAGCCTCAGCTTCAGCCAGAAGCGTGAGCGCGGCGCTTCAGACTGACTCCCTCTCCATGTGACCGAGGTGTTGGCGGCGTGCCGGAGCTGAGCCACCTCCACACAGGGCAGCTTGCTGACGGAGCGGAACACCACGGTGACGATGGAGGCCTGGAGGCCGTGTTGGAGGTACAGACCCAGACGACACTCCAGCAGGCTGAAGCTCTTTTCTGCCAGGAAGTCCGGACTGAGGACGAAAAGGAGGCGGCGGCTCCGCTGCATGGAGAGCATGACGGCCTCTGATTGGTCTGACAGAGGAAGAACAGGAAGTATTAATCTCAAAGACCTCAGCTTTTCATAGGCTCACAACAAAGAAGAAACACATTTCAAACTAGGGGTGAAAAAGACCACCTTGAATAGGTGGGTCGGTATCTCTTTTTTTTAAAGGAGCAGTTTGTAACTCTGACCCCCCTAGTGGTTAAAATGGGTACTGCAGTCTACATTCTAAACATCATAGAGAGCTGTCCCCCCCCCCCTCTCACTCAGGTCACCATGTGGTGGACTCTGAAGCTTCAGTGTTTATCCAGCTCTGCATGGGTCTGTAAACCTTTCTGTGTTCTAACCTCTCTCCATTTTTCAAAAGCATCTCCAATATTGATCCTAGTTTGAGCACGTTTCTGCTCGTGGAGCTTATTAGAAACATGCAGAGGCTTTTTAGGTCGGGTACAATCACTTCTATCTGAACCACTTCTCTTGACCGCTTCCATCGCTGCAACACCTGTTGACCTGATAACTGCTCTCATATCTGACAAACAGAGGGGCGTCCAAAACGGCCATGTGGGGGCGTGTCTTAAAAGCTCCTACCTTCTCTGGTCCAAACAAATCCAGAGCATTCAGGAGCAGAATCTAAAGTTAGACCATCATTCAGTGTGTTCGTGTCAAACATATGATAGTTTCAGTTATTGTGTTTTTGCCGGATCTTACATTTTACTTTCAATTAACTACATTTCTCTCTGTTATTTAATCAGTTTTCATTAAAGATACAAACCTCGGGTGTGATCATAGAAATCTCTCACTCTAAGATTCTGTGTTAAAATAATAGCTGCTTGTATGACTGCATTATGTCATGGTAAATATCTGTAGAGAATGGAATAATTCTTCTTGCATTATGTATAACCAAATCTTTTTGCTATATGTGCATGTTTGAAGATGACGTGTTTTGGTGCAAATGGAGGACATGAGATGAAAACACTTTGATGAATGAATCCTTTATTTAGAACATAAACTAAACTCTGAAAGAGTTAAGAGCATGACAAAGCACAGGATGCATTTTACAGTCAGTTCATCTGATAAGTATAAAAATATATAATAGCAAAATATCGCTTAAAATCAGAAACAATGACAAAAATAACAAAGGTTAAAAGAACTGTGAAACTCATGGAAAATAATATTTTCAATTGATGATAATTGAAATCTGTGAAAACACTTTTTGATCAGGACATTAAACTGTGGAGCTTTAAAAAGCTCTTACATTAAACTGTAAATTTCCCTCTATAAAGATGATCAAACTCTATTTCTCTAACAGACATTTATATTCCTCTGTGGATGAACCTCAATGATCTAAGTGATCATTTGATGTGACTTTTAGTGCCACCTAAAGGTCAACTGACTTATTTTTCCAAATACTTTTTTGTAATCATTAGATACCAAACTCTTTAAAGGTCACATATCATGTAAAATCCACTTCACCAGTAGCCCCTCCCCCAGGTGGGTGACACTCCCTCAGCTAGGTGTTTGTTCTGCCCTCTGAGTCTGCCTTCTCACCGTAAACAATAGGACATGGAGCGAGAAAGACCGAGTACACCCAAGCCCTTCCAGAGAGGGGGCGTGGTCAGACACAGCTCATTTACATATTTAAAGGTACAGACACAGAAACAGCCTGTTCTGAGCAGGGCTGAAATAGAGGGGTTTATAGACATGATCAGATACAGGATCAGAGTGGATTTAGAACAAGAAACTTCACACACATGTTTTGAGGAGCTCTGAGAATTATTCCTCCAGACAGTTCCTCCAAATCCTGCAGCTGGACTCCTGAGAGGGATCTGAAGTACCTTACACACAGAGAAAATGAACGGATTGTGTGCAGATGAAAGGTGATTATGGTTAAAATACTGGTAATGAGAAGTCAAACATGACTGCAGCTGAGTTCATGAAAAGATGAATGATATGTTTTTTTTTGTTCTTCTTTGGAGAGCGGCAGCTGAATCAGACAAAAAGCTCAACATCCACTTGTCCATTCAGTACTTTGGTTTCTAAACTCCTGCTTGACTGGATCATCTTTATTTCCTCCCAGCTCAGATCTTTTAGACTCCCTGGTCCTTAAGTCAAAGGTAGGTACGAGTTGAAGGAGTTTCAAAGCATTAAAATAAAAGATCTGATAAGTTCTAAAGACCCTTTCCGTCCTGTTTTTGTTGCTAGAACACAACAAGCACTGATTCATTGAAATGATTTGCAACCATGCCACCTTGTGTTAGACAGTTGGTGGTTCAGTTATTTCTTAAATATGTCAAAACTTTACATTATAAGATGCTTCTGTCAGTGAGCACTTGGACTACAAACAAGGTTAACAACATGTAGCTTTTAGCTAACCTCCAACTTCAGTCCTGTTTTGATATTTATTTATTAAATTTAGAAAATATTCAGGGTTGTGAGGATATAAATCTTTTAATTCCTTAATGCCATGCAGCGCCATCATCAGCCCCTTCACAGGAACAGGAAGCTGCTTCCCGCCTGTTACTCTGGCTCTAGGTCATGTGACCTCCTCTAACACGTCTAAACACCTGGTGTCACGCTGCAGAGATGAGGACTTTGTGCGGCTCTTTGACCGTGTTGGTGACGAGTCCTGACTGCGTGTTTGTGCTGTTCTGACTGAGCATCCTCATCAGGACCCCCTCCGTACTGCTCCCCCCCTCCTTCCTGCTGCCGACCCTCCTCACAGGTAACTCCACCCTCAGCCTCTTCCAGAAACGAGACGTCAGCTCCTTTGACTTGTCCCCCTGCCATTGGACTAGCGCCAGCGCCATCCTGGCCCTCTTCAGCTCCCTAACCCAGACGTGCCTCTGGACCTGCTTGTACTGGACCAGGATCACCCGCAGGTGCCCGCCCCGAGCCATGCCGTCGATGCCGGCCTTCAACTCCAGGAGAGCCTGGGATCCCTGAGAGGCATAGCCCGGGCTAACGACCACCAGGACGCGCCTGCTACGAGCCACGAAACTCAGAGTCTCATCTGTGATGGCTGCAGAGAGAGAGGAGGGATAATGAAGAATGGAGGATGGATGAAAGGATGGATGAAAGGATGGATGAAAGGATGGATGAAAGGATGGATGAAAGGATGGATGAAAGGATGGATGGAGTGTGTTTCTGAGTGTGTGTCATGTTCTTCTCTGCTTGTTTATGACAAAGAGCAAATGGAGTAGAAACTGTTACACTCATTTAGCCGAGTGAGAAGAGCAGCAGCCTGACCTGCAGGAGACGAGTGTGCTGAAGTAGGAGTGTGTGTTAAGGTGTAGTTCAGGTGTGTGTTAAAGTGTAGTTCAGGTGTGTGTTAGGCTGTAGTTCAGGTGTGTGTTAAGGTGTAGTTCAGGTGTGTGTTAGGCTGTAGTTCAGGTGTGTGTTAGGCTGTAGTTCAGGTGTGAGTTAGGCTGTAGTTCAGGTGTGAGTTAGGCTGTAGTTCAGGTGTGAGTTAGGCTGTAGTTCAGGTGTGAGTTAGGCTGTAGTTCAGGTGTGTGTTCAGGTGTGAGTTAGGCTGTAGTTCAGGTGTGAGTTAGGCTGTAGTTCAGGTGTGAGTTAGGCTGTAGTTCAGGTGTGAGTTAGGCTGTAGTTCAGGTGTGTGTTCAGGTGTGAGTTAGGCTGTAGTTCAGGTGTGAGTTAGGCTGTAGTTCAGGTGTGTGTTCAGGTGTGAGTTAGGCTGTAGTTCAGGTGTGTGTTAAGGTGTAGTTCAGGTGTGTGTTAGGCTGTAGTTCAGGTGTGTGTTAAGGTGTGAGTTAAGGTGTGAGTTAGGCTGTAGTTCAGGTGTGTGTTAAGGTGTGAGTTAGGCTGTAGTTCAGGTGTGTGTTAAGGTGTGAGTTAGGCTGTAGTTCAGGTGTGTGTTAAGGTGTGAGTTAAGGTGTAGTTCAGGTGTGTGTTAAGGTGTGAGTTAAGGTGTAGTTCAGGTGTGTGTTAGGCTGTAGTTCAGGTGTGAGTTAGGCTGTAGTTCAGGTGTGAGTTAGGCTGTAGTTCAGGTGTGTGTTAAGGTGTGAGTTAAGGTGTAGTTCAGGTGTGTGTTAGGCTGTAGTTCAGGTGTGAGTTAGGCTGTAGTTCAGGTGTGTGTTAAGGTGTGAGTTAAGGTGTGTGTTAGGCTGTAGTTCAGGTGTGAGTTAGGCTGTAGTTCAGGTGTGTGTTAAGGTGTGAGTTAGGCTGTAGTTCAGGTGTGTGTTAAGGTGTGAGTTAGGCTGTAGTTCAGGTGTGTGTTAAGGTGTGAGTTAAGGTGTAGTTCAGGTGTGTGTTAGGCTGTAGTTCAGGTGTGAGTTAGGCTGTAGTTCAGGTGTGTGTTAGGCTGTAGTTCAGGTGTGTGTTAGGCTGTAGTTCAGGTGTGTGTTAAGGTGTGTGTTAAGGTGTGTGTTAGGCTGTAGTTCAGGTGTGTGTTAGGCTGTAGTTCAGGTGTGTGTTAGGCTGTAGTTCAGGTGTGTGTTAGGCTGTAGTTCAGGTGTGTGTTAGGCTGTAGTTCAGGTGTGTGTTAAGGTGTGTACTCACTCCCTCCCGGCAGACTGTCTCTGTCAAAGATACACACGGTGTATCCGAGGTCATTCTCCAGAACGTTCCTCAGAGTGGACAGAACAAACTGCTCCTCCTCGCTGTTCCTCGCATACGAGATGTAGATGTCATACTCCTTATCATCTGTACACACACACACACACACACACACGCACGCGCGCGCGCGCACACACACACACACACACAGAGTTAATATCGACTTTATGTTTCCACGTCGTCATCTAAATGGAAACTCCCCCAATCTGATCCGATGTGCAGCACAGGAAGGCGCTCAGTCGACATGACGTGTGACCCGCAGCTTCATCCTGTTTGTGTTTTTGTGCTGAATTTGATGTAACAACTGTTTGTGGTTAAAATAAATCATCTTCCTCTCTGTAACGATGTCACACACTTAGAATAACAACCAGAGCCTCTCAGGGACAAAAACAACAACTTTGAGTGTGTTGGTGAACAAATCTCCAGGAGTGATTTCAAAACTTTTTTTGGTCTTATTTTTCGTTTGACCTCGACATTTAACATTTCACCCAGGTATTAAAACTACAAAATTGCCCTTTTTAAAAATAAGGGTGATAAGTAAATTTTTATGATCATTTTTAAGTTTCACTGGCATGCAGAGCGCGGTGCGGCGGTGTGGTCGTGTCTTTAAGAGTTAAAGCTTTGAAATAAAAACCTCTGGTGAAAATGCTTCAGCTGGCAGAAGCTCTCCTCACATCCACACGTTCACACTGAACGTTGGAGGGTTGATTGAATAAATCTGGCAGCTTGTCTGAAGAAGTTACACTTTCCTCTGTTCCACAGATACAAGGTTTAATAATCTAAATGCTCCGCCCGCAGCCAGACAAAAAACACCATCGTTAAAGAGCAGGAATTTAGTATCAGGTTATAAAAAAGTGAAGCTGTGAAGGTGAGACGGCAGATTTTTTGTTACCTGGCAACAACAGAGCAGCAGTTTTACAGCGGACAGTTTGTGATTATAGAAAAAGGTGCAACATTATGTAAACCTGTTTACAGCTGCGTCAGAGGCCGAGTCAGGCAGCACAACAGCAAACAGTAAAAACTCTCATTTAGATCCAATCTGAAGGTCCAGTCAGAGACACAGAAGACAGACCTGAGGGGTCACCTGACGCTCACCTGTGTGCCGCTCATCAGTGCCGAACCACGAGCGATAGAGCAGCAGCAGCTCGAGCCAGAAGACCTGATAGACCACGAAGAGGAGCAGCATGAGGACCAGGGTGACACCGAGACCGCAGCCCAGCTCCACCGACGGCAACGACACTGCAACACACACACACACACACACACACACACACACACACACACACACACACACACACACACACACACACACACACACACACACACACACACACACACACACACACACACACACACACACACACACACACACACACACACACATTAAACTCAACCTGCTCTGTGCTTTAGTCTGGGTTTGGGTCCGATCCCTGTTACCTGTATGACTAAATTAAAGGCGCAGTATGTAACTCTGACCCCTAGTGTTTAAAATGGGTACTGCAGTCTAAATTCTAATCATCATAGAGAGCTGTCTCCCCTCCCCCCCCCTCTCTAGAGTGGATGCTCACTCAGGTCACCATGTGGAGGACTCTGAAGCTTCAGTGTTTATCCAGCTCTGCATGGGTCTGTAAACCTTTCTGTGTTCTAACCTCTCTCCATTTTTCAACCTTCCCCCCAATAAAATTCAGGAGTTTTTCCAGGAGTTTTGTGAGTGTGACAGATCTACATCAGAGTCTCTGTGAGGTTGTTTTCTCACCCTCCTCCTCCAGCTGAGCTCTGCGGGTCTTGAAGCCTTTCTCGTTCCTCACCGAGCAGTTGAACTCTCTGTTCAGGTCTTCAGACTGGAAGTCTTTGATCACCAGAACGCTCTCCTCCGTCCGGTCCCCGTAGTCGTAATCCACCTGACTGTGAACAAACACAAAATAAAACACACACAGACTCAGAGGTAGAACACTGACAACTTGTTCCAGTCAGAGGACAGAGTCTCTGCAGACACAGTCACCACCACACATGTATGGAGGCCCAGAAGGGACAATGGAGCAGCTTCACTTTAGGAGAAGTCTGGATTTTATTTTGAAGGGGAAACATGCTGACTCTGTCTTTTAAAGGAGCAGTATGTAACTCTGACCCCTAGTGTTTAAAATGGGTACTGCAGTCTAAATTCTAAACATTTTAGAGAGCTGTCTCCTTGACCTGATAACTGCTCTCATATCTGACAAACCGAGGGGCGTCCAAAACGGCCGTGTGGGGGGTCGCCTTAAAACTGCCTACCTTCTCTGGTCCAAACAAATCCAGAGCATTCAGGAGCAGAATCTAAAGTTAGAAGGAGGACATACTGACTGCTGCATTGTTGTGTTTCCTTCATGTCTGATCAGATAGTAAAGGTCATTTGCGTGAGACTTTAAAGAGAAGGTAGAGTTTTTTTTCACACCTGTTGATTTTGGAGAATCTCTGATGGTCCGGGAGTTTATCCAGCGTTTTCCCGTCGACCGTCCACCAGATGTCCCATCCAGACTCTAGGTACGGGAACAGACCTCTGCACACCAGACGCACCTCCGTGTCTGACAGGAAGATCGATATTTACATCGCGTTTAAATATCAGACATCTTTCACTTCATGTTTAAACAATCAGCAAGTAACACTTTACATTTATAACATTAGCAGGATTCAGTGTAATCTCATTTTATGAGACACACTCACAAACTCACACAAACTTATCATTTCTTTGTTTTTTTTGTCTTTGGAGTCGTTTGATGGACTTCTTGTCCGCCAGTAAATGTTGTTTACAAACATTTCTACTGACTCCACGTTTAATGCTTCTGTACTTTTCAATACTCTGGAAGATTTAAATAACAGAGATCGTATCGTGTATTATTATAGTATCGTATTTTTCTCCCCACATGGCGACGCAGTGAATCAGCTCAGCGGTTTAAAAATCCCACAGATCCTCTGCGGCCTACATGAAGTGAACTCAGTGCCTCTGTGATGACGGATCAGGAGCTCTCTAAACGCTCAGCGGGGACATCAGGTCAATAAACAGATCAATAACAAACAGAGCCGTGTGCTCCTCATGGGAAACACTATGAACTGTTTGAGTGGAGTAAATGCCACGAGGTTAGCCGGAGCGGAAAACAACGGACAGTTTGTTTTTAAAAAGGGAGACACAGGCGGAGGTCAAAAGGAGGAATTTAAAGGTTTGAAAGCACAAATAATTAAAAATAACAAATAAAGGAAAGCATTCAGCTCTAATTTAAAATAAATGTTAAAGGGATGATAATTAAAAAAGAAAGAAGAAAGTTGAAGTGTTTTGATCTCAGCAGAACTTTTCTTCTTTTGTCCTTGTTTTTAAATCTGCATTTGACCCGAGGAAGAGTCTGAGACTCGACAATAAACAGAACGATCTCTACTTTTGTATTTGACACATTTTCCACCCGTCCCTGTTTTTCCCCCCTCACAGCATCATCTTGGCCGTGTGACAGTGAATAAACATGACCACGTCTTTTCTAAATCGGCGATTGTTTCTGATCAATAACACATTACCGCAGTGAAACGGTTCTGCTGTCCCACTCCATCACCATGACGACCGTATCCTTCAACATCCTCTGAGTGTCATCTGCACTGATCAATGTGTCTGCAGCCTCATCGCAGTGCCAGCAAAGAATCCGGATCTGTTCTGATGGTGTTCTATTCTCCCTTACGTTGAAAAATTAAAGGTCACATATTCAAAATCCTCTTCTCCATGTTCCTCTAACTCTAACATGTGTCTCTAGTCTACAAACCCCCCAATGATGAGAAGAGTCCATCCTCTCTGTCTTCTTCCTGCTCCACTTTTCAGAAAATGTGTGCTCAAACAGGCCGTTTGGAGATTTTCCCTTCATGACATCACAAAGGGCAGTAGCCCCTCCCCCAGGTGGGTGACACTCCCACAGCTAGGTGTTTGTTCTGCCCTCTGAGTCTGCCTTCTCACCGTAAACAATAGGACATGGAGAGAGAAAGACTGAGACACCCAAGTCCTTCCAGAGAGGGGGCGTGGTCAGACACAGCTCATTTACATATTTAAAGGTACAGACACAGAAACAGCCTGTTCTGAGCAGGGCTGAAATAGAGGGGTTTATAGACATGATCAAATACAGGATCAGAGTGGATTTAGAACAAGAAACTTCACACACATGTTTTGAGGAACTCTGAGACTTATTTAAACTGAAGAGGAGGATATGTCACCTTTAAACTTTTTAAAGATGTCCTTCATTTTACTTAAACTCCAGTAATCAAAATGACCTCCTCGTCAAAAGATGTCGCTGTCAGACTAGGCGGTATCTTATGGTGTTGTATTGTATCGTTAGGTATAATGAGGCATCATTAGGAATTGTTTGGTATAGTATAGTATTGTGAGGTTTGGTTTAGTATCTTATGTATCGTCACTCTGAGATAGATGCAGCTGTGCTTCTCCTGTCCACCCACCTTGTTTGACGCTGAAGACCTGGTCTTTGGATGGGTGCAGGATGGTGGGCACCTTGGACACATTGGACGGATCTGAGAGAATAGAGCACAGAGTTGGTATTAAAGGTTTCAGTGAGCAGCAGCAGTAACAGATGTTTCAGGTGTTAGGTGTTAGCGTTGGCCGTCTCACAGACTGCGGTGACGTTAATGCTCCGGCTGAAGCTCAGGGTCTTGCCCCTCCTCTGGTACTGGACCGTGCAGTAGTATAAACCTTGGTGCTGAATTATCATGATGTGAAACTGCAGGCCGGTTCTTTTCTGCTGACGGTATGTGTTCCAGAAGGGATACGTGTCACAGCGCTGACACACGGACGACAGGAAGAGACGGGTGGGTTAATAATCTTACAAGCTAACAGAGGAATCACTGAAGGACAGAAAAACACAAAGAGGCATGAATCAACTCATTAAAAAAACTTTCAATTAGAGGTACGAGCAGGAGAGTCGTCCTGTCAGGGAACGGGCTTGTGGCTCTGCTCTCACTGTGTGTGTGTGTGTGTGTGTGTGTGTGTGTGTGTGTGCAGCGGTATGACTAACATATCAAACATGGCCGAAGACCTTCTGACCTGTCCCGAGCAGCTGATTGGGCCGTGGTCAGCCGGTGTGCCTCAGTGTACAATGGAAGACTAATTACGCAAGATCAGGCTGAGATTCTAACCGACTTCAAAATCAGTTGTACGACTCAGCCTGAACTCGTCCCCTGTACGCCGGGCTTTATTTATATTTTTGTTGTCCTGTCTCTTTATCTGATTGAACATATAAATATGTTCTTTTTTTTTTTTCTTTTTTTTAAGATTTATTTTTGGGTTTTTTGTGCCTTTAATGCAGAGAGAGGACAGTGGATAGAGTCTGAAACCAGAGAGAGAGAGAGGACAGTGGATAGAGTCAGAAACCAGAGAGAGAGAGGACAGTGGATAGAGTCTGAAACCAGAGAGAGAGAGGACAGTGGATAGAGTCTGAAACCAGGGAGAGAGAGAGGACAGTGGATAGAGTCTGAAACCAGAGAGAGAGAGGACAGTGGATAGAGTCAGAAACCAGAGAGAGAGAGGACAGTGGATAGAGTCAGAAACCAGAGAGAGAGAGAGGACAGTGGATAGAGTCAGAAACCAGAGAGAGAGAGAGGACAGTGGATAGAGTCAGAAACCAGAGAGAGAGAGGACAGTGGATAGAGTCAGAAACCAGAGAGAGAGAGAGAGAGGACAGTGGATAGAGTCAGAAACCAGAGAGAGAGAGGACAGTGGATAGAGTCAGAAACCAGAGAGAGAGAGGACAGTGGATAGAGTCAGAAACCAGAGAGAGAGAGAGGACAGTGGATAGAGTCTGAAACCAGAGAGAGAGAGAGGACAGTGGATAGAGTCAGAAACCAGAGAGAGAGAGAGGACAGTGGATAGAGTCAGAAACCAGAGAGAGAGAGGACAGTGGATAGAGTCAGAAACCAGAGAGAGAGAGGACAGTGGATAGAGTCTGAAACCAGAGAGAGAGAGGACAGTGGATAGAGTCTGAAACCAGGGAGAGAGAGAGGACAGTGGATAGAGTCAGAAACCAGAGAGAGAGAGAGAGGACAGTGGATAGAGTCTGAAACCAGGGAGAGAGAGAGGACAGTGGATAGAGTCAGAAACCAGAGAGAGAGAGAGGACAGTGGATAGAGTCTGAAACCAGAGAGAGAGAGGACAGTGGATAGAGTCAGAAACCAGAGAGAGAGAGGACAGTGGATAGAGTCAGAAACCAGAGAGAGAGAGGGAGGGGAATGACATGCAGGAAAGGAGCCGCCTGCCTGGAGGAGCAATGCCTCCACACATGGGGCGCGCACTAACCACTGCACCACCAGCGCCCCATACACATGTCTTTTGTTGACTTTTTGACCCATTTGGATTGACATCATGACGGTCTGACTCTGCACAGCGTCATCAGTCTGTCTGAGTGTTGGCTGATCGTGTTACCGAACTCGTGGTCTCGTGGTACCAGCTGACGGTCGGCTCGCTGTCGGTCATCTTGGTGACCTCCTGCAGGTCGGGACACTGCAGCATCTTCCCCTCCTGCAGCGGGATGACCGCCTGACTCGTCACCCCAGCGAGTGGAAGCCGGCAGGCGTTGCCACGGACGACCTCTTCACGCTGCAGGACGGTGAGACGCATGGCGATCTTACTGCAGGACGTCTTGTTGCTGCAGAGGAGAAAAAATAAAAGACGGTTTAGGATTCTGCAGTTTAAGAGCAGGGTCGTGTGGGGGGGGGGGACTGAGTGTTAGACTTCTTTAAGTGGAAACATTAAAAACCATGATTGTAGTTCTGGGTAAACACGCAGCAGAGTGGTGACTCAGTCCCAAAGACAGGAAACAGGAAGTGGTGTCTGACCACACAAAGTACATCACATCAGCAGAAAGTACACAGCCAGCGGACCGTGAACATGCAGGCAGATTAGGAGATAAACTACTAGAGTGTGTGTGTGTGTGTGTGTGTGTGTATATATGTGTGTGTGTGTGTGTGTGTGTGTGTGTGTGTGTGGTCTCAGTCCGCAGCATTGGTAAGAAAAACTCCACGCTGTGATCTTCATCAGGCTGCAGCCCAGATTACATCTCCTGTGACTTCAAACTGTGAAGCACATCCTGTGTGTGTGTGTGTGTGTGTCTGTGTTTGTGTGTGTGTGTGTGTGTGTGTGTGTCTGTGTGTGTGTGTGTGTGTGTGTGTGTGTGTGTGTGTGTGTGTCTGTGTGTGTGTGTGTGTGTGTGTGTGTGTGTGTCTGTGTGTGTGTGTGTGTGTGTGTGTGTGTGTGTGTGTGTGTGTCTGTGTGTGTGTGTGTCTGTGTGAGTGTGAGTGTGTGTGTGTGTGTGTGTGTGTGTGTAAAATATATTAAGGCCACGTTTAAATAGTAAATGGACTTGAGCTTGTATATTTCTTTCTCGTCTTCTGACTCCTCAAAGCTCTTTCACACTGAGGTCACACCTACACATTCAGACCCGGGACATCGACTTCCTGTTTGAGGAACATGTGACAAGAAACTCCAGAACAGACTGAAGAAACCAGGTTAGTGAAACTTTGGTCCCCAGTGGAATAACCCAACCACTAACCCTAACTCCTGACCAGTTCCCAGTCTGTGTATCACACCTCTGATTGGACCTCTCCTCTGTGGATCAGGAAATCTGATCATTTGTTGGGATGTTTCCAGAGGTCGTCGTAGAGGTCATTGTAGGGATACTTTGAAGACAGCACAGACACACACACGCACACACCAGTTCAACACACCAGTTGAACCCGGTTTACACTGAATAACCTGAAAACATGCAGATCACAGACTCCGCCTCCTCCTGAACTAATGTAAGTCAGAGAGACCGGGGAGGGGGGGGGGGGGGGATCTGCCTGAACTTGTCCACCATTATCAAGATCACAGCAGAGCCGTGAGACAGTCAGTGGGAGTGGGTCTGTGTGTCTTATTATTAACAGCAGCTGAAGCTTTCCATCTCATATTTAGAGAGTAAATGAAAGTGATTGTGTGGCGGTCTGAGAGAGACCAGGACCCTGCAGGGATTAAAGTGATCTCTGATCCTGTTGGCGGGTGTCACATGCTGGTCTGGACCGTCTCCAGCTGACGGGTCAGATCTGAGCTCCTGACTCTCCATTTGTGTAATCCTGTGAGCGGCGCCGCAGCAGATCTTTGAGGCGCTCTGGAGCCACTTTGTCTGATTAAGTGTTGGAGGACGGAGGATCGAAACGCAGCGAGCAGCAGATACAGAGAGTGATGAAGAGGAGGAGGAGGAGGAGGATTCACTTCTCCCTTTATTTAACTGATGTACATATGTTTGATTTTTAACTTCTTGTTATTTTTGATAATTATATTC